TTGAATCGAATTTAACCTCGCATTTTGGTACTGAGGCAGGTCTTGCTTCAACTATAGAAGTAGTCAGAGATTCAAGAGCATAATTAATTTCATCTTTGGTTTGCAAAGGAATATTTGGATCAAAGCTATATTCCATAAATGTTCGATATATTTCTCCCAATCAGTTCTATGGTAATTGCAAGTAGAGCTGTTCAGATTAGAAATTATTTTTTGGGATATTTCAAAGTTACTGGAAATGGCAACAAAGTTGACATGAATCAGTTAAGACCAAATCAATAGTTGAGGGATTTCTTGCTGAAAAAACGTTTGTTGGGCTGTTTGGATATTGAATAGTGTAATAACCTGCAGAACAATCATCAAGCAGAATCTTACCATAGGAATTGCTTTGAGCATTATTCCATGAGCGGTGTTTTGCATTAAAATCACCAATAATGAAGAATTTAGACCTATGACGGGTAAGTTTCTGAAGGTCACCCTTGAGAAAAAATTGTTGTGGCCTACGCATTGGAATGGCAAATAGGCAGCTATAAACGTAATTTGTCCAAATTTTGTATCACAGTAACTCCCAAAGTTTCAAAAACCTTGGGTTCAAATGAAGAAATAATTTGATGTTTGACACGTCTATTAACAATGATGGCAACGCCATCACCATTAAGGGGTTATGCCACCCTACGATTTTCAAAAAATCGATTTTTTTTTCACATAAAAAGGTACTCTGAAGTGTCAAGAATAAGGGACAATTGGTTCCATGTCGAACAAATTAAAATTCCGAAAGTTATAAGCGAAATTACAAAACTTTGCATCACGCACCTAAATCTGTACCTCAAACTTCAACCGCGTTTTTTTTTCGATACAACATTTCTCTCCGCGGCCCACACGATAGCATCTGCAATTTTGACGATTGCATTCTCTGATTAATTATCTAGAGAAGTACATACGAACTTTTCAATTGATCAAAAAATGCAATTGTGGTATACAATTTTAGAAACAAATTTCAGGCGAAAAAACTGATTTTTTGCAAAAACAAGTCCCATTTGCGTAAAATTCAAAATTTTTTCATCTCCGTATGTACTTCTCTAGGTATTCTTATATAAAATAAGAAAAACCACTCATTTTTGTTCTAGGTTCATATTTACGACGAAGAAAGTGTGGGCCGCGTAACACTACACGGGAAGCAGTGCCAGGAACTCGCAGTACAGCCAACTGCCACACATGGTTTCCCCTTATGAAAAAAATACTGTAAGCACCCTTAATTATGTGTACTATAAGCCCATATAAGTTAATTTAGTATGTGACTTTATTAAATAACAAAAAAATAATGAAGTTGGTGCATTTTTCTGTATTCTAGGGTGGCGTAACCCCTTAAGACGATCATTTCGATAAATGAAAATTTGCGTCCCTTTTAACCATATGGTCAGATTTAGGGAACGTTTCAGTTATAACGGCATAAAGTTGAATAGCTCGTCTTCATTATCTTAAAGAGATCAAGCATTCCAATTCAAAATATTTAATGATTTAATCCATTACTGAATTTCAAAGTCATGACGATATTGTTGGCCAATTTAACTCCAGTTTGAATAGAATCAAACATGGAGTTAGTTTTAAGCATATCAGTAATCAAGTCGATTCATGATTTCTGTAAAACAATACATTTAAGGAGCAGTAAATCATCAAAATTTCCTATCGAATTATGTTGGCTAGAATTATGAGTTTGATTTCTACGAGCTGCAATAGCAGCATAAGTTGACTCCATTTACTAGCTGTAAGCAGCAGGTACAGATGAAAAATTCGAAGCTGTTTGTATGGATACGAATGAAGAATTTGTTCCTCGCTGACCATTGTTAACATCAGATAAATTAGTACCTGATCGGGAACGTGGAGCGTTTCCTATCTGTCGCTTAGAATGAGATTGTAAGATCGCTTTGCGAGTCTTACATACCCAAAAAATGGATTTGTGGTTTTCACCACAATATGGACATTATTTTTTTCTGATCTTCCTTAGAATGAGAGGAATCACCACAATTGATGCATTTAGATGGCATGTAGCATTTTTTGGTTCCGTGACCGCATCCCTGGCACTTACGACACTGACTGAGGTTTTGGAAATTTCCTCCAGTCTTCCTGAAGAGTTCCCACTTTACTCGGACATGAGGCATAAGGCTAGCTTTTTCCAAGGCCTTCAGGTTGTTTGGTTCACTAGACTGGAATTGAACTAAATAAAAATCATTAGAAATCCCGTTGCGCGAATCGCCAGAACGGAATTTCATTTTTATTTTGATTGCATGGAGTGGCTCAACTGCAAGTAATTATGTTAATTCATCTTTAATCTGATCCAGAGATTCACCACTGAGCAGATCTTTCAAGACAACCTTGAACAGACGTTCAGTGTTGGTGTCGTAAGTGAAAAATTTGTGTTGCTTTACAGTAAGGTAGAAGACGTTTGAATCCGTCCAAGGTTTCAGCCAAAACACGGCATTCACTGCGACGGCCAACTTGAAGTGAAAACTTGAATTGAACGAAGTTCAACAGTTCCGTGCGAAGAGCATGGAAATCGGAAGTGGTTATTACAAAAGGAGGAACCTTTTCCCTCTTGGCATTAAGGCGAGAATGTTTAGTGGAATTTTGCTTGGATTATGCGCCATTCCCATCATCCGTGAGCAAATCAAATTGATTGCTCAAATAAATTTCATCAGAACGGGGATCAAGAGATTGCCCTTTTCTTTTGCGGTTAGACGCCATGGTGGCAGTAAAACATATCTGCAAATCGATTTCCAAGCAGATTACGTTAAGATTACGATGGCCAGGCAGGATTACCTCTGGTAGGGCCCAAACAAGGATCGAACAGGAATAATAATCAAAAAAGGTAGAATCTTTGCAGGTTATATTAAGCACTGAAAAAAAAAATTAAATTTGTTGTAGTTTTAGGTAGCAGTAACACTTCCTTCAGAGAACAGCTAGAGAGACATGGCGTTTAATTTTCAGATCTGAATGACTTCTGGATGGCGAGATTAGGGTCAGTACTAGTGGAAGAAGGCTTCGAAGTTATTGGGTTTGCTGATGACGTGGTCATAATAGTTCGTGGAAAATTTGATCACATAATCACAGATAGAATGCAATCTGCATTGAACTGCACATGTCAGTGGTGACAAAAAGAAGGATTAAATATAAACCTATCCAAAACAGTTTTGGTTCCGTTCACTCGCAGAAGACAAGTAACACTCAAAAGTTTGTCAATTAATGGATCTATTATAACATACTCGTCAAACGTAAAGTATCTGGGAGTCATTCTAGATGATAAACTTAATTGGAACTTACACTTAGAGCAGGTAATAGGAAAAACCGCGAATGATCTCTGGGTTCGTAAAAAAAAATAAGCATTTGGAAAAAATGGGGACTTAATCCTAAAATGATTCATCGGATGTACACGGTTATTGTAAGACCTAGAATAGTAAACGCTTCATTGGTTTGGTGGCCTAAAACAAAGCAAAGCGTGACCCAGAAAAAGCTAAAAAAAAATTCAACGTTTGGCCTGCATGGCCATACCAGGACTCCTGGTCCAGGAGCAATGCACAGCACACCATCAAAGGCGATGGAGACAGCTCTCAATATGCTCCCACTGCATCAATACGTGCAAATGGGAGCTGGAAAGGCTCAAGTCTCCAATTTATAGGATCAGAACCTTTCTGTGGGGTATCTAAATGTGTAATACAAATGGAAAAGAAAAAAATTGGAAGACAATATGATACAGTCAAATTAGGCTGCTACGAATACTTCAAGACAATCCAAATTGTTTATTGCCCCAAACAAAGGAATTACGGTAACGGCGCCGGTGGTGTAGTGGTAAGCATGATTACCTCTCACCCCAGCAGGCCTGGGTTCAATCCCAGTCCGCGCCGCCGGGATGTTCTGAAGCATAACATCTCTGATCACGCCTTCCTTCGGATGGGAAGTAAAGCCGTTGGTCCCCGGTTCATGAGTTGATGAGTCGATAGGTAGGGTCCAGGTGTGGGAGCTGTCTCCCTGGCGTCGGTAGCATTGTTGCTCAGCACGGAAAACAAGATCGACGGAAAACAAATCAAAGGAAAAAAAAAAAAAAAAGGAATTACGGAAACAAATACTAAATTTAAATAAAAAAAATCTCTAAATAAGTATGTTTGGTACGTTGGGCTACTTACGGAATACTGTTTGTTAGATATCATTTGAAAAAGATAAATCGAAGTCAAACAGATATCTGTAGGTTTTGTGACTGTGAGACAGAGACCTCTCAATATTTGCTCTGCGAATGTTCAGCACTATTCGTGCGCAGAAGACAATATTTCAACAAATGCATACTAAGTCCTTCTGAGAGTTGGTTGAAAAATCCCAAAATGGTGGTTGAATTCATTCTAAGAATCATACTAGATTGGGGTACTACTTATCAGGCAACAACGGCAGTTACCCTAAATGGTAACTCGTCGTCCTGAACAGATGCGATACTAAACAGTGGTATACCACAATAGATCAGCTTAATGGTCGCAGTGGTTCAAATCCCAAAATAAAAAGGGTCAATAAAAATTCGAAGTGGAGGGATTCTGTGATCCGTATTATTAACATATTTTAGGCTATTCTCAGGATTTGAGCGGGGATGAGATTAGAACCTGCAACGTGAGAGACATGAATGCTAACCATGACGCCAGACCCGTAATTTTAGTCCAAAAATGTGGTGGCATGGCTATCAACATTCAATGCAGCCTATAGATCGAAGAGATTCAATCGATACAATGCTAAGTTAAACTGCAGAACGTAGCTTTTGCCCGTAAAATAAAGAAGAATGCAACAAGTTTAATTGCGCATATCGTAATGCACCGACTTCCGATCACATAGTTTAGAGATCCGGACACTTTTAAAAGTTGATAACCTGAATAATTAATATATTAGGTACCTAAATATTAGAAGGATGAAGAAAAAATATCCTTTTTTTCTCCTGACTAACATAAAAAAAATCATTTAACGATACTTACCAACTTAACTCATAGTCACCCTCTTTCGTGATATTACAACCGAGCGTCAGTGCTTTCGTGATATCGAAAATTTTTAAACTAGAGCTGGGATCATCGTAGTTGGGGTGTAGGATGTCTGACACTGGAAAAAGAGAAACGGAAAAAGAACTTGATTAGTTAGCTTACTCACACATACACTCACACGGTCTGTAACTGTAACGAGAATTATAATCAACAGTAGCGATAAAAAATGGCCAATAGAAACCTTCAACTATGGAACTGGCGAGTAAATACGAGTAGCAAGAGTTGGTAAAGTAAGCATTCCCATTAGGGATTCAACAGCGAATTCCACGTGCTCCGTTGCAACCCCGTGTAGCGGTCGGAGCAGTTCTTGCTGCTGCAGGTCGATGTTGATAAATTACAGGAAAATGTTAACATTTGCCTTGCATCATTAACAGTACTGGCAGTCCCATTATGCGAAATTGCTGCTGCTGCTGCATTCCACGAGGGGTGCACCTAGAGAGTAGCAAGCAAAATAAGCTTCTTGTTTGTCATCCACAAAACGCGATAGGTTGGTCGTGCGTAAATCGCGAATTAGCACATTGAAGTGCAGCAGCGTACATGGATCAGCCTTGGTTGAAACCGGTTTAAAATGTCTACGTCATAGTCGTCAATTTTACGGTTTCAGCAGTTTGATCATATCGAATGAAAGCTGGTTTGAGTGCCTCTTTAAAGTTTGCAAACCGCCTCAAAGAGAAAGAGGGGAAGGTGATGCGACGACGTGACTACTTTCGCGAGTGAGTGCACCGTATGTAGTTTCGGTTGATTGTTTGAGTCGGATGGAGCAGACTGGAAATGTGCCGTTGGTGATGAGCAAATGCAAATGAAACGAAACAGGGTAAACGTCGGTGGATTGCTTTCAAGATTGTGGTTATTCTTAACTTCAAAGGGATGCAAACATTGTTCGCCGGATGATGCCAGTTGCCAAGCGTAATAATCGAATTTATAATTTTACTTATCTTATTTTCAGCTGTCTAAAATGGATATAGGGGAAATGGATTTAATGTCGGTCTAAATGGTCCTAATTCGGGCCCATACATAAATTCAGCAATCGACTAAATTTTCAATAGCGATCAAAAATATCAATTAGCACCGTTCCAATGACGCGTTCAACTAGATAAAATTGATAAATAGCAGATTTTTAGCGATGGGCCCAATCTTAGATCCATAGTATAGTTTGTTCTTCAATTAGCTCATACTATCGATGCCGTTTGATTAGCTTTACTTTTTGTTTATGATAACTAAATCTGGTTTAGGAAGGTTTTCCTTGACAGTTGCGGTGGCTTATCTGCTCAAAATATCATGTGACATGTGAATATTATTTTTTGTTCTCTCTCAAGGGCATATTGATTGTATTTATTATTAAAATTATGGAATCTCTTAGGGAATTTTTAGGTGAATCTTCACACATGCCTTTTTTGCTTGTTCATATTTTTACAAGTTAAAAATTTAATATTTTTGGGAACGTAAGGTAAGGGTGCTCTTGACAGCCACATGGCGGCAGATCGTGGTATAAAAAGTTACATAGGTACATGAATCAAGAAAGCTAGGGGTAACGGCGCCAGTGGTGTAGTGGTAAGCGTGATTACCTCTCACCTCAGCAGGCCTGGGTTCAATCCCAGTTGGCGCCGCCGGGATGTTCTGAGGCATAACATCTCTGATCACGCCTTCCTTCGGAAGGGAAGTAAAGCCGTTGGTCCCCGGTTCATGAGTTGATGGGTCGATAGGTAGGTGTGGGAGCTGCCTTCCTGGCGTCGGTAGCATTGGTGCGCTCAGCACGCAAAACAAGATCGACGGAAAACAAATCAAGGAAAAAAAAAGAAAGCAAGGGCTGCCTTTGTGAGCGTACGAATTTTCTGGTGATCGAGTCAGTCAAAGGACCAAAATCCAATTCTGACGTGAAATCTGGTGTGCTATGTGTCAACGAAAAAAGGTGCGTACCAGCAGATAACACTCAAAAGCTGTAGGTCTTCAAAACCCGAAGCCTGCAATACATTATTTGTGCCTGGTGTCGAATGCTGAGCTCCATCTTCGATGACATAAGAAGCCGATATCAACTGAAATTCGAGAACGAAAATTGAGGTGGGTCGGCCACATACTAAGATTAGAACCCAGCAGGACACCACAGCAGAGGCAGACCCAGGAACTCAAATCGACAGTCTCTGTCTCACAGCCTTAACAAAGATATCGGGATAGTCAGCAGAAATCCGACCTGGATCCAGGTAAAGGAAAATGTAAATGGATGAGTGGGAGAGTGAACAGTTTTCATTGAAATATTTCTCAGGTTATATCTTTTATGGTTTTTGTGAGTTAATTTCCTTATCATTTCACCATATGACTTTATTTTCTGCCCGATTTTTAAACACTTTGCGTTTTTGGCAACAAGTGCTTCCGTTTTTAGCAACACAAAAAAAATAGAAGACTTTAGCGTAAGTCCTGTGATATTGTGTAAAACACCCTGGAAACATTCAGGAAGACTTCAGAGGACATTAGGGACAGATCCAGGGGCATGTTAAGCGAATCCGGTTGAATTTGTAGAATAATCTACTTTACTTAGAGGTAGACTTATAGAACCATAAAAACGAGCCTTACAATTTCAAGACCTGTGAAAGTTCTTGTACACCCAACCAGTGCTGAGATTTGTCATTGTCGTTTCCAGAATTTCGTGGGTTATTGACAACATTGTTTGTCACACTGACAGACTTCTGACTGACTGATCCTCACAAAAACCTTCGTTAAAATCTCATTGCGCGAAAATCAGATTCAACTGGTTTTTAAAAGTGTAATTTTGTGATTCTGTGTCACATTATTGTTATCCAAGCACTTCAGGACGTAGATACTTGTTCACTTTAACGGCTCCATGTAATTATGTTGCTTAGGTAATTTAATTTCGTTAGAACTTTAGTTGATAAAAAAGCTACACATGTTCGTCACTGAGAGTATTGTCATCGATAATTGACATGACACGGTTTACCTTGACGATGACTGTTAGCTCAAATGAATGACCAATGCAAAATTGTCAATATCACCGTGTATTGTCGAGATTTTCCAGCACTGCACCCAACCCTTTTTACGCGGTGGTATTTTATTTTCTTAAATGTTCAAATAAAACCAAGCTTGATGCACCAAGGATCGGGTGCTACTCAATTTTCTGCGAATATAACACACGCTATTGAGAAACAGCACTTTCATTTCCAAAGAGTCGTGAAAGTGCATTTTAAATCATGCAGCTATTTTCATTTTTCTTGAGCTAGAAAGCAGTAACGGTGTTAAGTCTCTTTCTCTTTTACTTCTCTGAGTAGCACTGTACGGTACACGGAGATGAAAAACTACCCAAAATTAAGTACTTTTCACTCAATTCCCGGGTTTAGCCCAATAGCCTAAATTTGAGTAAATCGCTTGTATTAGTTTCCATTTAACACCAGAAAAAATACTTACTCTTAAGTATATTCTACCCAAAATTAAGATTAATTCACGTAAATTTGAGAAAATGCAATTTACTCAGAAGTAACATATTTGTCTGCACTATGTCGTTGGGTCGAATCTCTCGTTATTATTTTGAAAGAGTGAGAATTTTCTATTTTTAAAGTTCAATATTAATAACTCTGTACAAATTTGTCCATCCATTTCAGTCCAAATTTGAGTAAATGGCATTTGTATAAACCAAACTAGTACATATTTTAAGAAATACTTTGATACAGGGTCCGGCAATTGGGTTCTTTAATTATGAAAAATATATATGTTTTTATATATCATCTGAAAGAGCTTCGTTTTCTGAGCACAGCAGGGCTGGTAGTGCTGATGCGATATAATAATAGTGACTTTAGTGATTGAAATTAAGGAAATAGTGACCAAATAGTGACTTGTAAATACTAAATAAGTAACCATTTATATGGTTACTTAGAAATTCAAATACAGTTTGATATTGAAATAAACTTCTTATGTCATGGAACTTAAAATCAAATTTCATAAATTCCTCTAATTTAATCGAATCTCACAACGGATTCTCCAGTGAAGAGCATTTGAAGTTACTTGAGTAATTTACTTTTGCTTACGTGATACATGATGACATGATTCCCATTTTTATGATCTTAAATTTGATTCTGCCTTCGAAATCTTTAAAATTTTGATATTTATATAGGTAGACAACTTTGATAACTCGCTAAGAACTTTTCAGAATGATCTCAAGAACATTTTTAGAATAATTCTCCTTATCTTAAGCTTAGAGGCAATTAAGCTTTTACAAAAATAATATTGTATTCTTGAAATTCTTTCAGAACAATCAACAAAATTCTTGAAAATAGATTATTTTCATATTTGGAAATATCAGAATTAAAGTGGACATTTTATACGATAGATGAGGGGATGAAAGCAAAGCGTTGATAGTTCCGTTATATAATGGCAGTGAGAAATTTGTATATACAAACTAGAAAGCGAACAAACGACAATTTTGAGGAAGAGCATCTCCTTTACCAAGCTCATCCGTTAATGAGGGATGGTGAGGGGTGTTTCCCCCTGCCACCACTGGCAAAAGGGATGATCGCCGATTGGCTCATGTACCTCCGATGTGCGGAAACAGTTCTATCGATTGTTTCACACTCAAGTCGTTATCTGACGTAAACAACTACCCGATTCGTACCTTCCTCAAAATTGTCATTTGCTCGCTTTCTACTTTGTACATACAATTTTCACACTGCCGTACAATAACGGAACTATCAACTCTATAATTTAATCTCCTCATCTATCGTATAAAATCTCCATTTTAAGTAGGATATTCGACGTTGATTACATTCATTCATCATTACATGATTAGTTAAAGTAGATTATTTTCGTTTTTTATTGATTCTTCTAGGAACTCCCTGAAGGCTCCTTTCATAAATCCATTTTAAATTTATTTGAATTCTCTTTTGAATTTCCATGCAATTGACCTCAGAACTTTCATAAATTTCTGCTTAGATTGATCTTGGACTCCTCCCCTGCATTCAATTGGAAATTCAGTTCGTATTCTCCTTAGAAATCCCAAAGTATTTCCTCAGAATTCTCAAAACAAATATCCATTACAGAATAACTTTGACAATCTTC